AAAAACACAACCAACAAACAAAAACTGCCTTCCTAGATTCTCATAGGAGTACTATTCCTCCTACCTTATTAATTGGACTTTTCCATGTTCCCTTGCTGAGCCAGTTTTGAAGTAGCAGGACAACAAGGGCCCAGGGTTGGCTCAGGCAGATCAAAGCCAATTCTCTCGAACTCGGGGTTAATTCAAGCCCAGGATACCAAATTAGGGTTTTGAACTAGGGGGACAGGGAGTCTAGGAAGCCAAGGCAGGAACCCGGAAGCCAGAACTGAAGCAGAGACCATAAAGGAGCCCTGTTTGCTGGTTTTCTTCCCCTGGCCCTCAGCCACCATTCTTACACAGCTCAGGCCCACCTGCCTAGGTTAAAGGTAATTGTTAATATTTCTTTTCCAGAAGGTTCTGTCCTTCTGGAAAAAGTGACTTCATTCTACCTCATGAGTAAATTATACAAACAAGCTTTTACCATTTTTTTCAGTTGAAGATTTTTATAGTCTTTTTTTTTAATGTATATATATACAAAAGCCCCAAATGGGTAAGACAGTTAATGTCTGAATTCGCAGGTAAAATGAGTCATGAGTCCCTTAATAATTCTGTTGTTGTTGTTTGAGCAATAGAAATTTATTTCCCCCTGAGTCCACCAGGTATTTTCAGCCATGTCATACCCTTGCTGTGCAGTCCATTTTCTCCTGTTCCTATATAAGATGTGCTTATGTTTTATTTGGGGACAGTTGTCAAAGCCATTTCTATCATTTCCCTTACAGGCTATGCTAAGTAGCTGCTACAGCTTATGCATTCTAATTATCTCCGTGTTAGGGAGTAGATGGAAATGTCAGTTATGGCTGTTGAAAATGTCCCCTAACTTTTAGGTGAGGACTCCCAATGTGATGCCTTGTTCTTAGGGCACATGTGGGGCAGAGTGAAGCTGGCAACAATGACTTCTTCAGCCTTGGGGCATTTCCAACAGCATTTTTATCAGTTCTTTTTAAAAAGGGCCCTCGCTTGTTGAGTAAAGCATAGAGTGAGGCCACGTTAACATTTTAACTGTAACATCAAAAGTTACCCAAGGCACCTCAGTGGTTATAGAGTACAGCTTTCAAAAGGAAACCCAGCTCAGCTTTAGTCCTTAAGTGTATCCATCATTACATCTGAGGGTCTGTCCTCCCTGCAGAGGAGACAGGAGCCTCCTTTACAGAGTAGGGAAAGCTATGCTTTCTCAGAACTCTACTGAGTTCTTTCCCGCTGTCAGGGTTTTCCATAACTATGGCAAACATTACCCTTTAGAAACTTCTGCCTGGGGTTTCTCTGAACTAGCAGGTACTTTATTAGCTGGCTGAAATATATTATTTCCCACGGTTTGGGCTATCCATCTGACTTGCTCTTTTGCTTATGGTTACTGCCCTGGGGCATTTTGAACTGTCTCTGTTATATCTCTGCTGTTGAAAATTGGAGTGTCTGGGATGCCTCTGCATCCTTTCACAGCTCCCTCCTAATGTCTAGGGCAGTCTGACTCATGAAATGAGTAGCTAGCAAAAGTCTGACACTTGCAATTTTTAATTAGCATAGATTATAGTAAATTTAACCATGTGCATTAAGAATCTTTGGCTTTTACAATTTCATGAACCCTTTTGCAACTTACTTGGACCTTCCACCCTGTAGGTGAGTGTTCTAATTTTATTTCTCTTTTGGTACAATCCGTTACTTAGGTCAAAACTACTATATAAAGCCTATTCTCATCTAAAATCATTATCTTTTAACTTAATGCTCTTTACCAAAAAATATGCTTTACCTGTAATTCTCTACATCTTTTTTTTTTTTTCTTGACGGCTTCTCTCTCCCTTATCTGTCTTTAGAAAACATGTTTTTTTCTTAATTAAAAAAAAAAAAGTCTTTATCCTTCTAGATCCCCTGAAAACACAGAGACTACATCTGAGATACTGATAACACATACTAATACTCCTAGATAAAAGTCCGGTGCCTCTGATTAATTTTGTGTTTGTCTCCTTCCTCAGGGTAGCTGATTACCCCTGCACATTAGCAGGATGACTACAGGGGCAAGCCATTGCCTTCAATACATTGTAAAAGAGAACCGAATCTCAATTATATTTAAACATAGTAGGATTAGATCCGTGTGATATTGTAAGCTTCAAATTACACTGAGAAGGCAGGAATGGCTTTACCTTAAAATTACTTTTTTTTTTAATCCAAAATTAGTCACAGTAAGGTCTTTGAGGGGGAAAAAAACAAAACAAACAAGCAAACAAAAAACAAAACCAACAAAAACAAAAACAGTAGAAGCAACCAGGTGTGTGGGGGAGAAGAGCACAGGCCTACAGGCAGTAGTGCCTATTTCTTGATGCCATAATGGCAAATTTACAAAGCATCATAGAGCCTGCAATACAGCTCAGCAGGTAAGGGCGCTCACTTGCCAAGCCTGAAGACTTGAATTCCATTCCTGAGAGCCACATGGTAGAAAGGAAGAATCAACTCCAGAAAGCAGTTCTCTGACCTTCACACATGGCACAGGCATGTCTACCCCACAAAACAAATACATACATGTAACAAATATCACCCTTAAAACAGTTACCTTTGCATATACATACGTAAGTCTTAAATTAGGCATGCCAAGAAGAGTAACTGTATCATAAAGTAAGTTAAAATATGAGAAGGAAGACTTAACTACCACAGATTCTTCTACTCAGTTTCAGGAATTTGGGAGACAGATTGACCTTTCGCCCAGGCTAAAATCATACCTAAAAAAAGTATGTGAAAGCAATTATGGACATACATGATGGAATTGCATCAAATCAGCATGTTTGATGAGTGAAATAGAGTAGAAAGTCTACATCTCTACATCCTTGAGGTGTAAGAAAAGCCTCAAGGAAATCAAAAGGGATCAAGTGACTAGGCTTGTTAGGTGGACTTAGGTTAATAGGGCTTCCTGTCTAGGAGATAAAAGGCAGAGGGGAGGGCAGCTGGGGTAGCCTTAATATTGCAAAGAGCTCAATTAGCCTGTGGAGAAGCACTCCCTTCCTTAGGTAACCTCTCTGATCTGACCACAGTTAACAGATCTCTTAGGCTAGTTTTCATCCCTGTGAGGGGTCTGTGCAAATGATCTAGGACACCTGCGGGGTCCTGTAATCCCAAGCAATGGGTCCCTGACCTGGGCAGAGCAGTGATGTGGGAAAATGGTCAATAGGATCTGAGCAAATGGCTTATGCTTATTCCGTAGCTTCCACCCAGATCACCTTTCTCTGGAGGTAAAATACCAGTCAGGACCAAGTATCACTCTTTCCATTGGGAGGGAAGATTCCTGTAAAGGAGCTGTGTCTATAAAGGCTGCCTGACTGATCAAAACTAAGAGCCAGAGGACCAGGGAGTATGGGCGGTGAGATTGTAGCTCCTAGTAATATCTAAAGAAACAGCCATGATTGCCAACATGACTGCCTACACATGAGCTGAACTAGGATGCCACCAATAAACATGACAGATTTGGCATGGGAAAGACCAGGAGGCCTCAACCCTACACAAAGAGCTACAGGCCAGTTAAGAGTGCTATACTGTTATGTATGTATAAAACAATCAATGAAAAACAGGTCATCAATTTGAAAGAGAGTGAGGACAGGGGTATGGGAGGATTTGGAGAGAAAAAGGAAAAAAAGAAAATATATAATAATATTATAATTTCAAAATTAGAAGAAAAAAATATCATCAATGCTTGTGGAGAGGTTGGAATGTCTCAGGTTCAGAACCTGCTGTTGTCTTTCCAGGGACCCACATTCTGCAGTAACTTTCACAAGACTGGGATACAAGCTCTTGAAGTAGGGAATCTCTCAGGTCATTTATTTTTCTACTTGAGTGGAGCAATGTCTCTCTCCTGTGAGGCTCTAAAAAGACTCAGGTGGTGAGCTCCATCAGAAAAGAAGCTTGTTCCCACAAATGCCTCTGATCTTTTTTACATATGCCATCCATGTTTGAAATGGGCAGCCTTTGCCCCAGACCTCATGTCTCAGGAAGTATCTTCCTACCTGGGAGACTAAATCCATGCTTGCAGTGCTTGGACTGTGTATAGTAAACTAGCAGAAACACAGATGAAAAGTTGGTAGGTTAGGGTGACATAGAAAAACAGTGGGGCTACATGGAGCAAGGGGTCCAGGAAAGGTTGAGCATGGGTAAAGATATGGGAGGCTCCAGTAGCTTATGGGAGCCCAGGGAAGTATTGGGACTCAATAGTACCAGTCTGTGCTAGATATCGCCAGACTAGGGGCTGCTTTATCACATTCACAGCCTGGAGACCGCAGATCAGATTCCCAAGTGCCTGGTTTCCTGGCATCATGCCATCTGGGGCTGTTATTGGAAGCTTCCATATCTGTCTACCCATAAGCATCCCGACAGCCTCCTGCCCATCCTTCCACCTGTCTCCCTCAGAGGATGTGAAAAGAGGAAACAACTGAAGGAAAAGATGGCTGAGGGGGATAATTATCAGAGGAGAGAGATGAGGAAAATATTCAAGGCTCCTTTGTCCTTATCAGGTTGCTGACACAGGAGTGGGGCAGTGTGTTGTTCTATAGGGTACCTTGGTGAAGCCTGATGTCTAACCTTGGCACATGACCAGATAATCCTGTCCAGGTAATTTTCAATCAGCTGGTGACCTAATAGCCCTTGACTGCCCCCCTTTCCCTGCTCACAGTTTGAAGCAGCTCCTATCATTCACTCCAAAATGAGTTGGAAGTTTGTGTGTGAAGGATTAGTCTCCCAGGGACCTAGAAATATCTGGAAAGCATGGATGGCCAATAGTCTGGATCTGGGTGAAAACCATGACCCACTTGCCTCCATTTCTATATGAGCCTTTTCCTTTCCATATTAGCACAACCCCACATTTATCAGAAGGAAAAACACCATGAGCAGACTCTGGTGAGCATCGAGGTATACAGAGCCACTGGGTATCTTTGCAAATAACAGCAGAGACAAGAAAAGCAACTGTCTGTTTAAATAAGAAGGGCTCATTCGCTGAGAAAAACCTAATTGTATTTTTTCTACTATATTATCCTGGAATTCCTCTTTCCTCTCCCCACCCCCAAGTCTTATATAATGATGGCTAAGTTAGTAAAAAATAATATTAATAATAATTTCCTTTGTTGGTGGTGGTAGAGATGGTTTTCTATTGTTCTCTGAGACAGCATCTTGCTAAACAACTCAGCCCAGCCTCAAGCTTCTCAGCTTCCTGTGTCTACTTCGCAAGTGTTGGTAATTACAGGCTTCAGTTCCACATCTGTCTCTTTCTTCCTTCCTTTGTTCTTTCATTCTTTCATTCCTTCCTTTTTTTATTTTGCTCATCTTTGCATTGAGCATGATTTGAGAAAGAAAACGATGTTTTAGTCACTGTCAGTGGAGTTATCACCATCGGGAACACTCTGATCAACAGAGACAGGAAACACTTCTAAAAGAGAGCACAAAATACATTTCTCTTTGTAAGAATTTGAACTCTTTCTCTTTCCCATCTCTGTGTAATGAGAGTCACCTTTCACATCTTCTTCCCACAAACAATACTCAAAATGCATTCACTGTAGAAACATGACATCCAAATTAGCAATACATTTCTATGATTGATTCAAGTGCTCCAAGGGGGAAAATAAATATAAGTCAACCAATCAGCAATTCTTGGCTCACTGCAGCTGGCCAGGTTTCCACCAACCACTAACAATGGAAATGTTCTGGCCAATGCTGACAGGGGTGGTTATGGCGCAGGAATAGATGTCATTTGTCATAGAAGCCTTTCTAAGCCTTGCTGAAAACTCTGGACCATTTAAACACAGCCTAGAGTATGGGCATCTTAAGTAATAGAAAACAGAATTAAAAAGCAAAGCATTTGAATCATAGCATATTAAACAACAACCAGGAACTTGGAGATGGATTAGATTTTATGGGATTTAGTATAACAGCTCCAAATATGTTCTCATTACATATAACTGCAGAAGGGTAGAACATTTCTTTTTATAATCAAGAGGAATGCACCTTGACCTGAACTGTGCTCCATTACATCATCAGAACCACAATCTACTCCTTCATCTGGCCGGTGATCCTGGATAGATGGGTCTTCATCAACAGAGTATCTGTTTCTTCTGGTCCCTAGTTTGGTTGGAGATCAGAGGGAGGAAAGAGTTAAGTAGGTATCCATCCCCCAGCTCCTTCCCTGCACTGTCTTCTTAAGCTGCCTGTCACTGAAGGTCACCCTTCCATAAAGGAGCAATTTATTGTGGCTCCTCCATTCCTGCTCCTTGCCACTTCAAGTTTAAGTCTGGTTCTGCTTCAGCTATGGGTGGGTAGCTGGGGATCTTTGCTAACTTTGTGCAACTTTGAGTGTTCCGTGTGTTTCTCTTTGGGACTGGATGTGGGCAGACGTCCAGTGCAGAAGCTGTCAATGTTAAAACAGCATGTGGCAACCCGTCTCTCATAATTTGAATTTAATCCAACCACAGGATCATTATCTCAGGCCAGAGAATGAACCTGGAAACAAGTTAGACTACTTTAGAGGCACCATCTCTGGCTCTCTGACTATTTCTAGTCAATTAAGAGACAGGTGTAACAAGCAAGGAGGTCAGCCTACCTATTAGACCAAATGATCACAAGGTCAAAATTGGTGAAATGATGCGTCATTGTCTCCCTGAAAACCTTGTTCCCAGTGATGGTTTTCCAGTAATCAAAATCCTTTCCTTGCAAGAAACACATGCATAGGACATGCGATTTATCTGAATCCCCAGGAAACCTAGGGTTTTCTCGGGGCAGGATGGATCGAGGAAGAGCTTCTCAGAGCACTGTATTAGCATTGCTAGCGACACTAGTGGGCAGGAGATGGTGTGTGATCACACAGACCTGCTTCCGGAGCCTGTGCCACACTTGAACACCTTCCTGGATTCACATTTCCTGGAATGTGGATATTCCTTGGTTTGTACAGATTTCTTCTGGGTCAAATACTTACCATTAATGTACTTACATCTCAATACAGAAGCCGAAGGACTGGTGGTCACAGCATCTTAGGGCATCGTTTTAAATAATTGTTTGGTGTTACAAGTTTGTTTCATAGAAATTAAGAAAAATGTTTTTGAGGTGTCAAGGATTTTTTTTTAAAAAAATGATTCAAGATTATAGCAATTTTTGAAAACACCAGACATAGAACAAAGTCTGAACAACAGGGCACCGGGACAGGAAGGAATTACCTGTATGAGGCAGGAGGCTGGGGAAATCCCTGGTTTAACCACTCCAAGGTCAACTTTTTAAACCTTTGTTTTATTTCCTTCTAGTTATTTTTTAGTACAAGATGATCGGATCATCCTATTTGTTATTTTAAATAATGTTTTGGAATTATCGTTTTGTAAAGAACACCTATGACTTTTAGTTAATTAAGCCATCTTACCTACTAATGATCAAAACAATAAAAACTTGGGAATATTAATAGTGAGCTACAGTGAATATGCTTACATACCTTAATGTATCTCTCGGATCACCTGCTTAGAACAAATTTTACGAAGCAGAATGGTCAGGTGAAAAGGCAAGAATGTTAATGGATTTTGATAAATTGTCAAATGACTCTCAGAAAAATAAGGTGTTTATATCTGCAGCAGCAGTACAGATGTGCACATCCCTGCAGTGTTAATACTAAGGGCATGGAACACCCATAAGCAAAGCCAAATTCCCCATATTACCTTTGCAGCCAACACAGTGTCTTCTCAGTTTATAGCAAATAAAGCAAACAAACAGTAAAAGGATCCAAACTCCAGCAAATATTGGCCATGGAGTTCTCTTCTTAGAGTCTGATACATAAAACAAAGTAACAAAGTATGTGAACTGAAGGAAACTTATCAAGTAAGACAATGACGGTAGGTTAGTACAATAACCAACTGTTTAGTAGGTTTACTGTTTAGTAGTTTAGTATTTTTAAGGTTGGTTATTGTTGCAAATGGGACAGAACCAAAATGGAGAACATATCACACAATAAAAAGGCCTTTAAAAACTTTTTAAAAATTATCCGTATAAATAAACTCTTAGTGTAAATTTGTCTCATCTCAGCCTCTATCATGCCAACCAATTTGGCTCTAGGTGGAGGTGAAAGTTAGGAAAGAAAAGAGTCCTAAAACTCAAAGAGCAAGAATGCTACTCTGCATTTGAATTTTCTATTATTTTATATTACATAAAAAATCTAACACATTTTTACAGTGGAATGATTAAGAACAGAAACCTGTGTTAGACACTAGTACCCTTAGACTTTCAGGCAAGAGTACTTTTCTTGCTGGCCTGGTGAAGACAATCCTAAGAGAACAGTGACAGGATGTTCATGGTGATGAAATGCATGTTTTCCCTTCTGAAAATAACCTGTACCGTATAACTACTTCAACTCTTGTCTGTGACCCTCAATCCCTGCCCAAGTGAAGAGAGAGCCACGAGGCCACCTATTAACCCAACAGGGCAATTTAGTAAAGATTGGTTAGGACCAATCAGTTCAGTGAATCTTTCATTGAGCAGATCTATACATGAGAAATACCAATTGTGTTGGTATGAATGAGAATGACCCCCACAGGCTCATATATTGGAATTCTTGGTTCCCTAGTAGTGGAACTGTAAGGGAAGGATCAGGAGGCATGGCCTTGTTGGAGTATGTTACTGGGAGTGAGCTCTGAGGTTTGAAAAGCTCATGTCATTCCTAATTACCCCTCTCTGTGTCTCTCTGTCTCTGTCCCTGTCTTCCTCTCTCTCTCTTTGTGTGTCCTACTTATGGATGAGAATGTAAGCTCTCAGCAACCGCTCAGAGTCATGCCTACTTGGCTGCTGCCATGCTGTCTGCCATGATGGCTATGTATGAAACCGTAAGCCCTCCAATCAAGTGTTTTCTAAATGTTTCCTTGGTCATGGTATCTTAGTGCATCAATAAAAATGTAAATCAGACCAAAGTTGGTACCAGGGGATGGGCTCTTGCTATGACAGGCCTGACCATGTTTCTTCTTTTTTTTTTTTTTTTTTTTTTTTGAAGAAATGGAGATGAATTTGGAATTTGGAGTAGAAAAGTGGGACAACACTGTAAGAAGGACTTAGTGGGCTGTCATAGCGTTTATTTGGAAGATAAGACTCCACTCAGAATCCTCCAGTTTCTGAAAAGAAAAGAAAAAGCCTCTTCCTAAAGAGCAACAACAAATGAAAGCTTATTCAACTGTCATTCATGGAGGGGGCCAGGTTTCATCCCAGGCAGCCAGCAGAACTTGGCAGCATTAGCCACATGGATCTGGCTTTAGAGTCAAGAAGGGAACAGGAATGCGAGGTTATAGGATTTTTCCTCCACAGTTAAGGAAAACTGCTGAAACTAGACATGTAGCAGGAGACCCATTGCATGGTGTCCTGGAAAGGACATTGGATGAAGCTCTGAAGGTGAAGCCTGGATTATGTTACAGACCCCAAGGTGCTGGAAATGCTACAGCATGGTAAATCTACCAAGTATTGCTACATACAGGGAGTGGGACCATCTCAAAAGAGTGAAGTGTGCTGCAGTCAGCAAAGCTGGAAGAGCAGAGCCGTCTAAAACCTTTGACATCATATATGAACATCAAGAATTTAGAGTTGCCCTGTTGGGTTTCAGTCCTGACTTTACAGCAGGTTACAATTAAGAGACTGCCTTGAGTCTCAGAAGAGACTGGACTTCCCCCTCCCCTTTTATTATTAGCATTTATTCAGTTTGTGTGTCACCTGTGGCCCCCTCCCTTGTCTCCTCCCAATCCCATCTGCTTTCCCTATGCCTCTCCCCTAGTCCACTGATAGGAGAAGTCCTATTTGACCCTAGCCTATCAGATTTCATCAGGACTGGTTGGATTGTCTTTCTCTGTGGCCTCTGAAAGACTACTGATTGAGGTATCAAAGCAGAGGCTGAGACTCATAGCCAAACTTTGGGCTGAGTGCAGGGAATCTTACGAAATAATAGGGAGACAGAAAGACTTGGAGGGGACAGGAGCTCCAAAAGGAGACTAACAGAGCCGTAAAGATTGGAGGCCCTGAAGAGAATAATATCCCAACCAAGGACAATGCATGGAGTGGACTCAAAACCCTGGCTCAGATGTAGCCCATAGACTCAGTCTCCAAGTGGGATTCCTAGTAAGGGGAACAGGAACTTTCTCTGGCATGAACTCAGTGGCAAGCTCTCTGATCACCCCCCCCCCCCCCCCAGGAGACTGGACTTTTAAACAATCTTAAGACTGAAAGATAATGAGGACTTTTGAAGTTAGACTGAATGCTCTTTGTCACATGGCCACGAGCCTATGGGCACTAGGGAGTAGAATGTGGTGGTTTGGATGAAAATGGCCTTTATAGGCTGCTGTATTTGAAGGCTTGGCCCTCAGTTGGTAGACCTGTTTAGGAAGGATTAGGAGTGGTGGCTTTGTTGGAGGAGGTGTATCTCTAGGGGTGGGCTTTGAGGTTTCAAAACCCCACATCATTACCAGTTAGCTTAGGCTATCTCACTCTGTTGCTGTTTGTCACTGTCTCTCTGTCTTTCAGTCTCTCTCTGTCTCTCTCT